CATCCTAATTCGATTGTCATGAAACTTTAGAATATGCAATCCATAAACCCAAATCCACAGATCCGAGTACATCTTAAAATGTAGATTGCATTCATGCTTTCAAATACAATTGATCAAAATACTTGCAAGAATCTCTTGAACGATAGTTTGATACTATCTAAAAAAGGCAATCCGCATACACTCTTGCAAACAGACAAATTTTGTGATTCCATACACAAGATTACAGAAACATTTATCTCGGTTGTTTAGCAGCAACAGAGAAAGACACTCGGTGAGGCAAGTCTCTTTGTTCTTGACTAGGATTTGGATTAGGGTTGGGATTGGGATCACCTGCTTCTTCATCCTCTTCAGTCTCTTCAGCAGGTTGGCTTATTTGCCTCTTGGGAATAGCAAGCTGATAATTCGGGCTGATCAACGTATCCTCTTCTGGTGGCAGAGGGATTCCATGCCCTGTTATCGATTTTGGCAATGGAATCTTGTTTCTGCTCCTGGCCAACTCCAGCAGCACCTTTAAGGAGTTCAATGTCGAAATGTTAATTCAAAATGGAAAAAAAAAAGAAACATATGTATATACTTTCGAGGAAAAATAAGAATTTTCACTATATACGAACCTATTCTCTAGTTTTCATCAAAAATCAAAATTACCCTTTTCGGGCCTAACTGCAGAATCTACCAACAAGGTTTTGCCCAACTTCGGAAAACCACACCATTGACAACTAGTTCTCTTTCGCAATTTACAGCCTCGAGAAGGGGGCAACTATTAAGCTAGACAAAAGGGGTTGTTTGTAGTAATTGGGAGGACTTGAGGATTTGTGTAATTTCATTAAACTACAAGGGTATACTTCAAATAACTTTCCGTACCCTTCATCACTAAGGGCAACAAGAAACAGCACTAAAGAGACTAATCCAAGCACATGCTTTTTGAAACTTCTTACAATGCTTATCAAATAAATACAAAGTAGTCCATATATCATTTTAATCCAAAGAAGTATGATTTTGAATGAGTTGCTTCATTCAATCTGCCTGAAGTTCATGTTATATCCTCACAATTCTAGTCAACTCGCGCGGCTTGCCATCTAATCCAACATACCATCCCGCCTATCTAAACTAGACATAAAAACGGCACAAAACAAACATGTTACGACTTACGAGAATTCAAATTGCTATAAGCCTCATAAACACAATTTCATTCGAAAATTTCAAACACTATAAGCTCTATCATACAAACACAAAACATAATGAAACCAAACAAGCACATGGAAAGAGAGATACTCATATATTTCACACTAGTGATCCATCTAAACCTCAGGCTACATTTTCTTATTACCAAAAGACATTCCAAACATTCCCCTCAAAAACCCGAATCGCCACACCCGTTAAAATTTTAGGAAAATTACCTCTCGAGGAGGAGGCTGCGAGAAACTAAAGTTGACTTTAGACTGGATAGAAAGCTTTACATCATCGGAGTCGACCGTGGACTTTCCGGCATGCTCGGAGTAAACCTGTGCATCTGTTAAAACATCAACAACATACCTATACCACAGCTCCAAGAACTGGTTTATAACCCGAGGCTCGTAATCATCGACACCCATCGATTTTAGCAATTCCTTCACGATTTTCGCATCCCTCGGTAAATTATCCTCCTCACACCCTTCCGCCATCTCTCACACCCCCCCAATGGCCACTGAAAGAAACCCTAATGTTTAGGTTCATATGTAGTGTTTTGCACTTTACACACACACACACACAATTCACCTAAACATCAATGTAGAAAATCAAGATCGAAGCTTTTTCTGAGAGATTTTTCACAGAAACAAGAAACCATAGTGACCAGTTCAATAGAAGTAAACAAGAAACCAAATTAACCGAATAAAAGACGAAAGCTCACCTCAGAATTATGGGCAGTGAACAAGAAAACACAGTTCTGTTCAAATACTAAAATCCCATTACAGCATAAGATAAAGAAACCCTTCTGAAGAATGTGGCAATTTTTACGGAAATTGAGGATTGAAACGACGAGTGTCGATACACAGAAACAGAAGTGAAAAAATAAAATAAATAAAGGAACAGTTATTTGCGATTCTGGCCCATTATTTACGAATGGAGCAATTCAGCGAAATGGACTCAGCCCATTATTTAAGAATCCGGCCCAATAGAGAGTTCAATTAAAAGCTAAAGAAATAATGACACCCCTTATCCTTTTTTTAAACAGTATTAATACTCTTACAAATAACTAGTACAAAGCCCGTGCAATGCACGAGATGCACAATTTTAAGGTCATTTATCTATTTTTATAATTATATAAATGAATAAAAAAAAATGTACGGGATATATATAGTACGTGACCTGTAATAGGCCAAAATGTGAACACGGGTGATGCACGAGGTGCACAATTTTAAGGTCATTTATTAGTACAGAGTCCGTGCAATGCACGGGGTACATAATTTTCTAGTATGTGTAATAAAAATACATACCGTATGCACGGGACAGAAGCACTAAATGAGTCATTTCCACAGAGCTTGCCCGTTAAGTAGCTCCTGAACACGGGTGCACAATTTGTAGTACATACCATAAAATCAGAAAAGATTTTCATACAATTTGATAATAAATAAAACCTTTTTATTTTAGTAAAGATTTTACGTACTTTGTTTTTTTTTTTTACTTATCGGATGTTATGGGATTTTTTTGTTAAATTGATTTTATGGAATATAATACAAATACAATTAGAGGATTGAACAAAATCAGAACAGATTTTCATACAATTAGATTAGATAATAAAAAGGAATTGGATAAGGAAAAGAAGGAATTAGATAAGAAAAAGAAAGAATTAGATAAGAAATTTTGAATCTGACTTTTTTTTTGGGATAGATAGACTTTACGTACAAATTTTGACTTCACTAATTTTATTAGATTTATTTTGACAAAATCGATGTTAATTGGAATAAGACAAATAAATAAAGTCTTTTTATTCTAGTAAAGATTTTACGTCTTTTTTTTTACTTGTCAGATGTTATGAGATTTTTTTTCTTAAACTGATTTTATGGGATATAAGACAAATAAATAAATTAATTAAATAAAATTTTGGATAGAAATAGCAATGCATTAATTACGTTGACTTTTCAATATACTAAATTTGGTAAATAGGATACTTTATATAATCCTCCCTATATATAATTTCAGAATGCGCTGAGCCTACGTGGCTGCTTCTGGTGTTTCGGAATCCTATTTGGCGAAGAATCATGCTTCGTAATGAGGTTTGGATAAATAA